CATCGAAGTTTACACTACCGAAGTATTCAGATATAAATAAAGTTGGAAAGTAAATATAGTTCTATTAATAGAACTAGACGGACTCTTATGTTTGGTATTTTACTGAGACCATTTAATGGCCTCGTCCAAATATCTGATATGTAAAATGGAAAAGGTATCAATTAATAAAATCATTAAACCCCATTTAGGAAACTTAAGTTTCTTGTACTATTAAGAGTACGATTATAATGTGCGTTTATAACATAGAATCTGATGTGGAGGCCCGGCTATTACACAGCCCCCACCCAGCTCTGAGATCCATGAGAGGCAAGTTGCTCACTCAAGCTGATTATGGGTCAAAAAGCGAAAAGGAAAAACGGGTCGAAAACATTAAGTAGCATAACGTATAGTTAATGTTTCTCAGGCGGAAGCGTTCTCGGTTACCCTGTGAGTTTTGGGCTTAGGTCCAGTAGGTCCGTGGTGGTCGACTGGACGTTTCTTACGCTTCAGTGTCTTAAGTACATATGAAGGATGAGCATTAGAGCTCGGGATAAATGCTGTTGGCGGATGAGTTTAACTTCCGTGCCTTCAAACGATGGAAACATGCTATCTTTCTCAGCTTGTGACTTATGCAGGCGTTTAAACCATTTTCGATTAAAGGCTTTTAAATAGTCTGATTATCGAAAGCATCTGAAGTCAACTCAGCTATTGTATCGTCTATAAAGCGTGTACGATAGTATCTATAGCCTCCCTTATCCATTCTCCATATAATATCTTTAAATTCAGAACGATCAAGAGGGGCATTAAAGTCGTGTCTTCTTGCGAGTATAGTCTCTGTAGTCGGAATATGACTTGTGCCTATAATAAGGGTTTTAAGGTTTTAGGGTTTTATGGAGGCAATACTACGCTATCCCAATAAGGGACCTGGCCCCGACGGGATCCACATCCTCCTCCTGAGGGCCGCAGTGGAGTGCTCTACCGAACGCCGGACATTAGGACGCCCCGACGCCAATAGCCCACTGATTAGACTCCTTGCCAAAGCATTCACTGAGCTACTGAAGGCGGGTACCTTCCCCGTAGCCCTGAACTGTAGCCTCATAACAGCGCAACCAAAGAAATCCGATGCAGATATCACCTCCCCCGCCGACTTCCGCCCCGTCACGCTTACGCAAATAGTCAGACGCATCTTTGAAAAGTGCTTTCTTAATTTGATTACGAGCCACCCCGGCTCTGCTACCCATGCTACCCAAGCTGGCTTTAAATCACAGTACTCCTGTCATACCCAAGTACTTGCCGCCAT